TAGGATATGGTGCTGCGTGTGGGAAGCGGTGACAGGCAGCACAGCAGCAGCTGGGTGAGAAGCATCTCACAGCTCCAGGACAGGAAGCACCCTGCCATGGAGCACTGCCATATCTGTGGGGTTCCCATGCTGGGAGTCCTGGAGGAGGAGGTGATCCTGGGAAGCTGCGTGGCTGCACACATGAGGCACTCCACAGAAGAGGGGTGTGCTCTGTCCCCCCAGTGTATGGGAAGGGATGTTGTCACCTACCCAGGTAATGGCCCACACCAGCAGTGTTCCTGTAGGGCCTTGTATGGAAATCATTGGCAGTGACTATCTCTTCAGATCCTGCCCTCTCTAGAAATGCACAGGTCACAGGAGCCCCAGATCTGTTATATGTTTTGTGTGTGAACTTTCTCAACCATCCCAAGTACGTGACGGATGCTCTCACCCAGCAGGGCCCATAATCACAGGCACAGGAGCCTCAGCAGAGCCTGAGCAGCGAGCAGGGGAGCGGGGATGTAACATCAGACTTGCAAGTAAGAACAAACCTGCCGTAGATGTCTTGCGTTGCCGAGCCTTTCATACTGTACATCCAATTAACCTTTACTTACTGAGGAGTGATGACACTCTAATTTGATTGGCAGCGCTTGTCCTGGCGCCAGTAGCTGCAGTTCAGAAGCTCTGCTGGAAAATCATGCTTTATTAATACATCATTAAGCCCTTTAAATGGATTCCAATGGTGTATGTCTAAAGAAGGAGATAATTCAGCATTTGTTAGTTTCTGACAGAATACAGAATTGGAATTTATAGTGCAAGTCTTAATGTCAAAAAACCTAATGTGCCAGCAATTGAATTACAGGATCGCTTTGTAGCCTGTACATCAGCTGCTCCTGTAGCAGGAGGAGCGGTGAAGGCTAAGGACAGTGTTTCTCTCTCAGATGTAGGAATACCGGGATGCAGTCACACCCCAGAGCATAGAAGGAGCAATGATTTGATGGGTCTGTGATGTGTGTATGAGTGCTCAATCTGCACCAGCATTAACTGCATGGAATCCTTAGGAGGAAAAGCAGATTGTTAGCAGTGTTTTCTCTTTAATGAGTGTTCAGGCTTTTCTGGCTTGAATCAGCATCTCCAGCTTACAGGGAATTTTATCTATGTATCTGTATCCATGCATAATTTAAGCAGCAAATATGGGTGTACTCCACATGATGCAACTTATGCTTACAGCATATCAATGACTAGAAGGTGCAGAACAACTTTGTGCCCAGAGATGCTCTACATTTTCATCCTTCCCTTTTTATGAACTCTGCAGACTCTTCTTCCACATCTCTTCTACTTTTTAATCTCCATCCAGAAAGCATACAGGGCAAATGAAATGAGATTATTCTGTTTTAAGATAGAGAATACTATATGACTCTTTGTGAAGTAAGAAATCAAAAGAAACCTGTGTCTAGAACTGATGGGCATCAGCTAGGACTAACATGAGTGATAGAATCAGCAGGGAAATAAGTGCAAACTGCAGTAGGAAAGAGAGGGAAAGAATGCAGGTTCAAAAAGCACAGGGGGACAAGCAGAACCTACGGCAGAGCTGCTGCCTTAGCCAGGCAAGGCTTTACTGACCCATGCTTCTGCCAGGCTGGTGCTGGAGAGCCAGGGTGCAGTGGCTCCTGAGTGATTAGGAACAAGCACCAGGGCTGACACCACAAGAGAACTGCCTGCAATGATCAAATGATCCTGTGACTGATCTCTCATTTACAAAGACAAAACAGCCCAGGCAGCACACTTGGGGTGAAACCCCTTCAGTAGGATGGGATGGGGTAAGACACAGGAGCCTGGAACAGACAGTGCAGCCACCCTGCGCCATACAGGGCAATGGAGCTGCAGAAGCAGCAGGCAGACTGCAAATGTACCAACATCCCCGCTCACACCAGCATCCCCACTCACACTAACATCCCTGCTCACACCAGCATCCCCATCCACACCAGCATCCCCTCTCACCCCTGTGCTGGGGCTCAGGGGCACAAGGATCATGCCAGCAGCTGGTGTGTGGCTGGTGAGGAGCTGGGATGCGGGTGTGAAGGGGAACAAACGTGGGAAATCCTGTCTCCAGTGAAAAGTGACAGCTTCTGTGGGTGTCAAAGTTTTCCCTCCCTTCCCACAAGCTGATCCTGCTGAGAGCCTCCTGCGGGGCTGGATCACCCCTCTCCCTTCCCATCCTGCAGACACAGGGCATGGGGAGGGCAGTGTGTGCGCTGCCTGTGGCTTTGTTGCTGCTGTCGGCAGCTTTACTGTTGCTGCCTGGCTCTGCCAGGAGCAGTGCATGGGATGCTCCAGTCAGAGCTTCCCCCACCTTGACTACCTCCAACATGGAGCTCACCGCTGGCTTTGGAATACTCCAGAACAGGCTCATTTCCTCTCAAACCACATCACTGACCTCTCGTTATTGCCTGGGAAAACTGGATGCAGACGAGCTGAGGGTGCCACTGAAGACCTGACTTGGTGCCGTCAGATGCAGAGATAATGCACTGCTGCGGGTCCTTCAGAGGAGCAGCACTCCAAAGGAGATGGCAAAAAATCGACGCCTCTCCATTGAAATGCAGCTACGAGGAAGTGGCACATTCTCCTCCATAATGTGTCCTCGAAATTAGCGGCAAGAGGACAGGGCTGAGCATGTGTTTTGCTTCTAAATAGTTGCATAGTTTCAGTCATGTGTAGCAGCAATTAGAGTTTCCTGTAAATCTGTTCAAAGTCCCTCTCTTGCCCTTCTTATTTTATTACTCAGGTCTTGGGTAGCTCATCCTGGGAGAGCACTGGCAGGGGGGCGCACGTCTCAGTGATATTTAGGGGTCTAAAGGTGCCCATGTTGGTTCAGTAACATGATCCCAGCAGAATTATTTCAGTTAGCTGGTCTTTTCTGTTTGCTGCTTTGCTTTTAATCCCCCGGAATGATTTGCCATGCTGTTCTGCTCATAAGCATCATAGAAAGCATGTCCCTAGTTGACCAGGGTAGCACACTGAGGGTGGCTAAAGTGCGTTAGGAACCCCAGAGTCATTTTCAAGGCAGTCAGTGAGCAGTTTAACCTGCTCTGAGCAGCAGCAGACTGCACCCACCCAGGAGCCTGAGCCCCGCTGGTTTCCAGAGGCACTGGCTGTGATTACTCTGCTGCGCACTCTTCTCCCAAGGGCTGGTTGCTGGTGCTGTTTATCTGTGGTCCTGAAGCCACGTTATCTATCTGTCTGCTCAGGAGGGATTATGGGACAGAAGCAAAGCAGCTCCTGTTCCCAGCCGGGTACTGGGGCTTTGCCCATAGCTGAGCCCCTTCCCCACCTCTCTGTGGGGGGAACCCCGCTGTCCACATCCCTGGGCCCCAGAGCAGCACTGTCTCTAGACCTCCATGGATCTCAGGTTCTTTGTACAATGGGGCTTATGCCTCGGCTCACTTACTTCTGGCTTTCCAAAGGCATCTACATGCCAAGGCAGACATCTAATGGTCTTTTGGCACTGTGACTGGTGCTGTTGTGGCTGTGGGCACTGGGACTGGTGCTGTTGTGGCTGTGGGCACTGGGACTGGTGCTGTTGTGGCTGTGGGCACTGACTGGTGCTGTTGTGGCTGTGGGCACTGGGACTGGTGCTGTTGTGGCTGTGGGCACTGGGACTGGTGCTGTTGTGGCTGTGGGCACTGGGACTGGTGCTGTTGTGGCTGTGGGCAGTGTGACTGGTGCTGTTGTGGCTGTGGGCACTGGGACTGGTGCTGTTGTGGCTGTGGGCACTGACTGGTGCTGTTGTGGCTGTGGGCACTGGGACTGGTGCTGTTGTGGCTGTGGGCAGTGGGACTGGTGCTGTTGTGGCTGTGGGCACTGGGACTGGTGCTGTTGTGGCTGTGGGCACTGGGACTGGTGCTGTTGTGGCTGTGGGCACTGACTGGTGCTGTTGTGGCTGTGGGCACTGGGACTGGTGCTGTTGTGGCTGTGGGCACTGGGACTGGTGCTGTTGTGGCTGTGGGCACTGGGACTGGTGCTGTTGTGGCTGTGGGCACTGGGACTGGTGCTGTTGTGGCTGTGGGCACTGGGACTGGTGCTGTTGTGGCTGTGGGCACTGACTGGTGCTGTTGTGGCTGTGGGCACTGGGTGTGTTGTGGCTGTGGGCACTGGGACTGGTGCTGTTGTGGCTGTGGGCACTGGGACTGGTGCTGTTGTGGCTGTGGGCACTGGGACTGGTGCTGTTGTGGCTGTGGGCACTGTGACTGGTGCTGTTGTGGCTGTGGGCACTGGGACTGGTGCTGTTGTGGCTGTGGGCAGTGTGACTGGTGCTGTTGTGGCTGTGGGCACTGGGACTGGTGCTGTTGTGGCTGTGGGCACTGGGACTGGTGCTGTTGTGGCTGTGGGCACTGACTGGTGCTGTTGTGGCTGTGGGCACTGGGACTGGTGCTGTTGTGGCTGTGGGCAGTGGGACTGGTGCTGTTGTGGCTGTGGGCACTGGGACTGGTGCTGTTGTGGCTGTGGGCAGTGTGACTGGTGCTGTTGTGGCTGTGGGCACTGGGACTGGTGCTGTTGTGGCTGTGGGCAGTGGGACTGGTGCTGTTGTGGCTGTGGGCACTGACTGGTGCTGTTGTGGCTGTGGGCACTGGGACTGGTGCTGTTGTGGCTGTGGGCACTGGGACTGGTGCTGTTGTGGCTGTGGGCACTGGGACTGGTGCTGTTGTGGCTGTGGGCACTGACTGGTGCTGTTGTGGCTGTGGGCACGGACTGGTGCTGTTGTGGCTGTGGGCACTGACTGGTGCTGTTGTGGCTGTGGGCACTGACTGGTGCTGTTGTGGCTGTGGGCACTGGGACTGGTGCTGTTGTGGCTGTGGGCACTGGGACTGGTGCTGTTGTGGCTGTGGGCACTGGGACTGGTGCTGTTGTGGCTGTGGGCACTGGGACTGGTGCTGTTGTGGCTGTGGGCACTGGGACTGGTGCTGTTGTGGCTGTGGGCACTGGGACTGGTGCTGTTGTGGCTGTGGGCACTGACTGGTGCTGTTGTGGCTGTGGGCACTGGGACTGGTGCTGTTGTGGCAGGTTGGAGAAGGAGGGGCTGGAGAGCAGCATCTTCCAGCTGCAGCAGCAGCTCACCCAGCTCGATGCCCGCAACCAACAGCTGGAGGCTGAGGGACGGAGCCTGCTGCAGGCCAAGGAGGCATTGGAGGGTGAGGGGTCCCTGTCCCCATCACCCCGGCCATCTCCATCTGTTCTTATATCCCTGCTTCATCTTCCACATCCTCATCGCCATCCTCACCTCAGTCACTCTCTTCATCCCCATCCTTATCCCTGTCCATCCCCATCTTCATTCTAATTTTCATCCACATCCATTATCCATCACCATCTTCCCATCCTCATCCCTGTCCATCCCCATCTTTATCCTCATCTCCAACACTATCCCTGTTCAAACCTCATCTGTATCCTCATCTTCAATTTCACCTCCATCCATGCACCATCTTCATCCCCATCCACCATCTTCATCCCCTTCCACCTCCCATCTTCATCCTCTTCCCCATCCTCATCCCTGGTCCCCATATTCATCCCTGGTCCCCATATTCATCCCCATCTCTACCCTCATCTCAGTCTGTATCCTCATCCCCATCCATCCCTGTCTTCATTCTCATCTCCAACACCATCTCCATCTTAATCCCAGTCTTCATCCTCATCTCCAGTACCATCCCTATTCATTCTCCCTCATCATCTTCATCCCCATTCATTCCCCCTCATCATCTTTATCCCCATTCATTCCCCATCATCATCCTCATCCCTGTCCTTCCCATGTTTATCCTCATCTCCCACACCATCCGTCTGTACTCCATCCCTCTCTTGTCCCCAGTTTCATCTCCATCCATCCACCATCTTCACTCTTGTCCATCCCCATCCTCATCCTCCTCCATCCTCATCCACCTGCAGCAGGGTCATGACAAGCTCTTCACCACCGTTTGTCCCCTGTGCCCCTGCTCCTGTCCCCCGCACCCCGGGGTGTCCCCACTGACACCCCACTGCTGGTGCCCTGCAGCGGAGCTGGGTGCCGCGCGGCTGGACCGGGAGCGGGAGCTGCAGAGCCGGCGCGAGGCCGTGGCCGCAGCCGAGACCGCAGCGGTGACCATGGCCCTGCAGCGCGCCCGCGATGGGCACCGCGCCGAGCTCGACCGCCTGCAGCACGAGAAGGTGGGCACAGGGGGCTGGGTTTGGGGTGCAGAGCTGGGGGGATGGGGGTTTTTGGGGGTACAGTGCTCATTCTTGGGGCGTGATGCTGATGGTGGTGGTGTGATGCTGATTTTTGGGGTGCAACGAAGATTTTTTGGGTGCAGTGATTCTTGGAGTGCAAAGTTGCTGATTTTGGGGGTTGCTGGTGATTTTGGGGTTCACTGATTTTTTGGAGTTTCACTCTTTTGGGAGGTTCACTGTTGGTTTGTGTTCATTGTTGGGGTTGGGTTCACTATTGGTGTGGGTTCACTGTTGGGGTTGGGTTCACTGTTGGTGTGGGTTCACTGTTGGGGTTGGGTTCACTCTTGGTGTGGGTTCACTGTTGGGGTTGGGTTCACTGTTGGTGTGGGTTCACTGTTGGGGTTGGGTTCACTATTGGTGTGGGTTCACTGTTGGGGTTGGGTTCACTGTTGGTGTGGGTTCACTGTTGGGGTTGGGTTCACTGTTGGTGTGGGTTCACTGTTGGTTTGGGTTCACTGTTGGTTTGGGTTCACTGTTGGTTTGGGCTCACTGTTGGTGTTGGGTTCACTGTTGGGGTTGGGCTCACTGTTGGTTTGGGCTCACTGTTGGTGTGGGTTCACTGTTGGGTTGGGTTCACTGTTGGGGTTGGGCTCACTGTTGGTTTGGGCTCACTGTTGGTTTGGGCTCACTGTTGGTTTGGGCTCACTGTTGGTTTGGGTTCACTGTTGGTGTTGGGCTCACTGTTGGGGTTGGGTTCACTGTTGGTTTGGGCTCACTGTTGGGTTGGGCTCACTGTTGGGGTTGGGTTCACTGTTGGTTTGGGCTCACTGTTGGGGTTGGGTTCACTGTTGGTTTGGGCTCACTGTTGGTTTGGGTTCACTGTTGGTGTGGGTTCACTGTTGGTTTGGGCTCACTGTTGGTTTGGGCTCACTGTTGGTGTGGGTTCACTGTTGGTTTGGGCTCACTGTTGGGGTTGGGTTCACTGTTGGTTTGGGCTCACTGCTGGTTTGGGTTCACTGTTGGTTTGGGCTCACTGTTGGTGTGGGTTCACTGTTGGTTTGGGCTCACTGTTAGTTTGGGTTCACTGTTGGGGTTGAGCTCACTGTTGGTTTGGGCTCACTGTTAGTTTGGGTTCACTGTTGGTGTGGGTTCAGGAGGAGCTGGAAGCCGAGCGGGTCCGTCTCTCACGGGAGCAGGAGGTGCTGGCAGCCGAGCTGGCCTCGGTGCGGCAGCAGCACGAGAGCGAGAAGCAGCAGGTGGGTGTCCCCATGTGCGCCCCAGCCTCAGCCCCGGTGTCCCCCTGGGTCTGATCCACGTCCGTGTCCCCGCAGGCGCTGGTGCTGCAGGAGGAGGAGAGGGCTGCTCTGTCCGAGACAATGCAGCGGCTGCAGCGGGGCCTGGCCGAGGCCACGGCTGAGCTCGAGCAGCAGCGCCGGGAGGTCTCCAGCCACCAGGAGAAGGAGGAGGTGGGTGTGGGAGGTCCTGGGACCCCCCCATGGTGGCGCAGAGCCCCACGTGGCCCCTACTGCATTTCCCATGCCTGGGTGTCCCCTCTCTGTGCAACCCCCTATGCCTAAGCATCCCCTTCCATTGCAACGCTGAATGTCCCCTCTGTCCCCCTACTGCATCCCCCATGCCTGGGTGTCCCCTCTCTGTGCAACCCCCTATGCCTAAGCATCCCCTTCCATTGCAACACTGAATGTCTTCTATGTCCCCCTGCTGCCACCCCCCCATGCCTGGGTGTCTCCCATGGCTCCCCCATTACAACCCCCTATATCTGGATGTCACATATATCCCCATCATTGCAGCTCCCCCATGCCCCCCCCCTTACAGCATTGCAAACCGCCATGCCTAGGTATCCCCCTTTCCTGGACATCCCCCTTATTGCAAACCCCACTTACCAAGGCTCACCCCCTCCATTCCAAGAACTCCCCCACATCTTGCAGCTCGTGCAGTGTTCCCCCATCTTTCAGGCTCTCCATTGTGAGGCCCCGTTTGCCCCTTGCAAGCGCCCTGGGCGATGGGGATGCTCAGGTGTGGTACCCAAGCATCCTCATCCCTGCACCATCCCCATCACAATCCCCCCGGGATCCCGCACAAGCGGGGCAGAGGTGCTCAGCGGGCTGTGCCCCCATGCAGAGCCTGGCAGCGGAGCTGCGCTCCTTGCGGGCGCAGGCAGAGGAGACAGCAGCGACCCACGCACGGGAGGCCAAAACCCTCCGTGACCAAGTGACAGCAGCGGCCAAGCAGCGGGACGGAGCCCTGCGGGAGGTGACCCCCCCCGGCCCCTGCCCACCGCCCCGAGCATCCCGACCCCTAACACCCCCCCTCCGGCGCAGGCGGAGGATGCGCGGGCGCAGCTGCGCCTGGTGGCGGAGGCGCGGGCCGCGGGGCGGCGGGAGCTGCTGCAGGCGCAGCGGGAGGCACGGGAGAGCCGGGAAGGCCGGGAAGCGCAGCGGCGGCAGGCGCAGGAGGCGCGCAGGGCGCTGGGGGACGAGGCGAGGGAGAAGGAGGCGCTGCGCAGGTCCAACGAGGAGCTGCGGGCGGCGCTGCGCCGCGCTGAGGGCGAGCGCATCAGGTGAGGGGGGAGAGGCAGGAGCTGGGGTGATGCTGAGGGTCGGGATGATGTGAAGGACAGGGGTTAGGGTGATGCACAGGGTCGGGGTCATGTGCAGGACAAGGGGATACCTAAGTTTGGAGATACAGGAGGTGGTGTGATGCTGAGGGTAAGGGCAATGCTTGGAATAGTGCAATGTTTTGGGTGCTCGGGGTTGGGGGTGATGGTCAGGTTGGGGTGATGCTCAGGGTCAGGGTGATGCTTAGGACAAAGGGATACCTAAGTTGGGAGATACAGGTGGTGCAATGCTCAGGGTCAGGGCAGTGCTTGAGATAGTGCAAGGTTTGAGGTGCTCAGTGTTGGGGTGATGTGCAGGACAAGGGGCTGCTCAAGTTGGGAGATGCAGGAGTTGGGGTGATTAGCGGGGTCAGGGTAATATGCAGGACAAGGAGGTGCTGGGGTGATGCACAGGGTCGAGGTCACGTGCAGGACAAGGGGACACCTAAGTCTGGAGATACAGGAGGTGGTGTGATGCTCAGGGTAAGGGCAGTGCTTGGGATAGTGCAGTGTTTTGGGTGCTCAGGGTTGGGGTGATGTGCAGGACAAGGGGCTGCTCAAGGTGGGAGATGCAGGAGATGGTGCGATGCTTGGGGTCATGAGATGCAGTGATGCAGTGTTTTGGGTGCTCAGGGTTGGGGTGATGCTTGGGAGAAAGGTATGCCCAAGCTGGGAGATGCAGGGGGTGATGCAGCACCTTGGAGGGTGGTGCTTGCTGATGGGATAATGCTCAGGACAAGGGGATGCTCCAGTTAGGAGATATTCGGGGTGGTGTGTTGCCTTGGAAAATGATGTCTGGGATTGGGATAACACATGGGACACAGGGATGCTCAGGCTGGGAAATCTATGAGTTAGTGCAATGCCTTGGAGGGTGGTGCTCCAGGTCAGGGTGATGTCTGGGGACAAGGAGATGGAAGTTTGGGCATGGGGAGGGATGCGTAAGGATGGGATGCACTGGAGCAAGATGCTCAGTACAGGGGTTGCTTGAGGTGAGCGGTGTTTGGGATGGGGCAGTGCCTTAGAGGGACTTGTTGGGGACAGAGAAATCCGGAGAGGGGCTTGGGACAAGGGCCTGTAGGGACAGGCCAAGGGGAATGGCTTGAACCTGCCCGAGGGGAGACTGAGCTGAGCTCTTAGGCAGAAGCTCTTCCCTGTGAGGGTGCTGAGGCGCTGGCACAGGGTGCCCAGAGAAGCTGTGGCTGCCCCATCCCTGGCAGTGCTCAAGGCCAGGTTGGACACAGGGGCTTGGAGCAAGCTGCTCCAGTGGAAGGGGTCCCTGCTTGTGGAACTGGATGAGCTTTAAGGTCCCTTCAGCCCAAACCAGGCTGGGATTCTGTGTTCAGGGTGGCAGCGCTCAGGGTGGAGGCTGCCCTGATGGAGTTGGTAGCCGGGGAGGAGTATCCGAACCAGAGGGACGCTGGAGGATGGGGCTGGTTTGGAGCGGGATGCTCAGGACAGGGCGATGCTGGAGCCACCGCAGTGCCCCTGCGGGTGACCCGGCCCTGCCTCCCCTCTCCCGCAGCCTGAAACGAGCCGGGGAGGAGAAGGAGCAGCGCCTGGCGCTGGTGGAGGACGGGCGGGCGGCAGCGGAGCGGGAGGTGACCGAGCTGCGGGCGGCGCTGCGGGAGCTGGAGCGCGCCCGCCTGGATGCGCGCCGGGAGCTGCAGGAGCTGCGCCGCCAGGTGAGCAGGGGGAGCAGGAGGAGGGTGTGGGACTCCCCCCTTCATCCCCCGCGGGTGTCCCCACACCGTGCCCGTGTCTCCGTGGGCAGGTGAAGGACCTGGACGGTGAGAACAGCCGCAGGAGCAGGGAGCTGGGCGAGCTGCAGGCGCGCGTGGCCCTGGAGGAGCAGCGGGAGCAGGAGAGCCGCCGCGAAGCCTTCGGCCTCAGGCAGAAGGTGGCAGAGAGCGAGGCCGGGACGGAGGCTGCCAGGAAGGAGGTGGGGGGGGGGGTCCCCCAGAACCCTGTTTATCGGTGCTCTGCATCCCCATCACCCCACAGCTCCGTGCCCAGCCTATCCAGTGCCCCTCTCTCCTCCCCCCATACCTCAGTGCCTGTTGTCCCCAAGCATCTCCATCACCCCATAACTGGCATACTGTGTCCCTCAGTGTCTCCACTGCTCCATTGTTTGATGCCGTGCCCCTGAGTGTCCCCATTACCCCATTGCTCAGTCACCCTTTGCTCTCTGCCCTGCATCCCCTTGCATCCTCGGTTGGTTTGTGTCTTGCAATCCCATTGTCTCCTAACTCCGGGTCTGGTGTCCCTGGGTGTCTCCATCACCCCACTACTCCATCCTGCATCCCTTGGGTTCCTTACATCTCATTGCTCTATCCCTTGGGATCCCCATCACCTATTGCTCTATCTTCTGTATCCCTGGGGTTCCCCCATCACCCCATTGCTCCATCCCTCCATCTCCTCCATCTCTGTTATCCTATGCTCCAACTGCTCCGTCCCCATCTGCCCATTGCTCCATCCCTGGAGGTCCCTGTCACTCCACTGCTCCATCCCCTCCATCTCAACCTTGCTGTTGTGTCTCCTGCTTCCTTGGTAGTCCCCCATCATCCCATTGCTCCATCCGTGGGGTTTCCCATTAACCCAGTTGCTCCATCCCTGGGGATTCCCATCACCCCAGTTGCTCCATCCCCTGCATCTCCACACTGCTGCTGTGTGCCCCGCATCCTTGGGGCTTCCCCATCACCTCATTACTCCATCCCCTGTGTGTCCACCCTCTTGCTGTGTTCTGTGCATCCCTGGGGGGTCCCTATTGCCCCATTACCCCACCCCTTGCACCCCATCTCCCCCCGTGTTCCGCAGCTCCAGCACCTGCAGCAGCGGCTCTCAGAGGCTGAGGCCGAGTTCCGGCAGCGGGAGAAGGCCCTGGCCCGCAGCCTGGAGGAGGCTCGAGGCAACGAGAAGAAGCTCTTGGCCGATGCCCGCAACCTGCAGCTGAAGGTGGATGCGGCGCGGGGCGAAGCGGCCGAGCTGAGCCTGCGCCTGAGTGCAGCTGAGGGCCGGGCGCAGGGGCTGGAAGCGGAGCTGGCGCGCGGCGAGGAGCTGCGCCGGGCCACCGAGAGCCGCCTGGGGGGCATCCAGTCCGCCCTGCGCCGCACCATGGGCATCGGCCGCGCTCAGGCTGGCTCCCCCGGCAAGGGTGAGGGGCTCCGGGGACCCCGGTGCTTTGTGCCTTGCTTACAGGGGAGAGGGGTGCATCCTGCTGCAGTGCATCCTGCTGCAGTGCATCCTGCTGCAGTGCGTCCTGCTCCAGTGCATCCTGCTGCAGTGCATCCTGCTGCAGTGCTCCAGCCCCAGCATCCCTGGGAGTTCCCCATGTACCATTGTTCCAGCTCTTGTATCCCTGTCACCCTGTTGCTCCATCCCCTATATCCCCATCACACTGTTGCTCCATCTCCTGCATCCCCATCGCCCTGTTGCTTCATCCCCTGCATCCCCATCACCCTGTTGCTCCATCCCCTGCATCCCCATCACACTGTTGCTTCATCCCCTGCATCCCCATTGCCCTGTTGCTTCATCCTCTTCATCCCCATCACCCTGTTGCTCTATCCTCTGCATCCCCTTCATGCTGTTGCTCCATCACCTGCATCTCCATTGCCCTGTTGCTCCATCCTCTTCTCATCCCTATCACCCTGTTGCTCTGTCCCCATTGCCCTGTTGCTCCATCCTCTTCTCATCCCTATCACCCTGTTGCTCTGTCCCCATTGCCCTGTTGCTCCATCCTCTTCATCCCCATCACCCTGTTGCTCTATCCTCTGCATCCCCTTCATGCTGTTGCCCCATCACCTGCATCTCCATCATTCTGTTGCTGTGTTTACTGCATCTCTGGGGTCCCCCATACCTTATTACTTCATTCGTGGGAGTCCCCTGTTCTCCACTGCTCCATCCCCTGCATCCCTGGAGGTTCCCCAATCACCCTATAACTCCATCCCCTGCTTCCTTGGGGTTCCCTGTGCTCCATTGCTTCATCCCTGGGGGTTCCCATAACACCTTTCCCATAGTACTCCATCTCCTCTATCTCCATCATCAGGTGCTCCATCCCTTGCACTCCATCACACTTGCTGTGTCCCCTCCAGTCGTGGGGGTCTCCCATACCCCATTTCTTCATCCCTGTGGTCCCTCATCACCCCATTGCCCCATCCTCTGCATCCCTGGGATCCCCCAGGACCCATTGCTCCATCCCTGGGTTTGAATCACCCCATTGTTCCATCTCCTGCATTCCTGGGGTTTCCTATACCCCATTGCTTCATCCCTTGGAGCAGCGGGGTGATGGGGGACCCATCTCTTACATCCCTGTATCCCATGGGTGCATCCCCCTGTGGCACATCCAACTCCAGCTTGCCACCCTCCCTTGGGCTCTGCCCCTGTTGTTCCCATTCTACCCTGCTTGTCCCCATACAGGTGGGGGACTGGAGGGGTCACTGAGCCCCAGCTCATCCCTGGACCCCGATGCAGCATCCGAGCCCGAGGCGGTGCGGGCAGCGCTGCGGGATTTCCTGCGGGAGCTGCAGGATGCGCAGCGGGAGCGGGTACCATCCCTGCTGCCCTTTCCTCCCCTTCCCTTCCCCATCACACCCAAAAAGCCCCTTTTTCACCCCATTTTCTTGCCGCAGGAGGAGCTGCGGGTGCAGGTGGGCAGCCTGGGCCGGCGGCTGGCGGAGGCAGAGGAGCAGCGGGACAGCACCAGCGCCCGGATGCAGCAGCTCCAGAAGCTGGTGGATGAGAGTGAGGAAGGTGATGGGGAAATGGGGTTTTGGGGGGGAAATCCCCTCTAAATTGTGGGGTTTGGGGTGATTTGTTCCATTCTGGAGCCTCACCAGGGAGTGGGGAAACTGAGGCACAGGGAGGGTAGCACATGGGTGGGAATTCCTCCATGCACAGCCTCAAAATCCTGGGGGGGTCAGCCCCCCCTGGAAACACTATGAACCCTGGTAAAACCCCAGTGCATGCCCAGTAAACCCTGGTGAAACTGCACTGTATCCCCTTTAAACCCCAGTAAAAGTGGTAAAAGCCCCCATGCATCACTGTAAAACCCACAGAAACTGGTAAACCCCTATGCAGCCTACATAAATCTCAGTAACACCCCCCTGCATCCCTGTAAACCCCAGCAAAACCGGTAAAACTCCTGTGCAGACTTCTTAAATCTCAATAAAATGGGTAAAATCCTTGTGCGTCCCCCATAGATCCCAGTACCAACCCTGCATCCCCTTTAAACCCCAGTAAAAGTGGTAAAAGCTCCCGTGCATCCCTCTAAACCCCACTGAAAGCTGTAGAACCACCTGTGCATCCCCCATAAATCCTAGTAAACCCCCCTGCATCCCTGTAAAGACAGCAAAGCTGGTAAAACCCTCTGTGCAGACTCTGTAAATCCCCCCCGAAATGGGTAAACCCTTGTGCATCCCCTATAAATCACAACCAAATGGGTAAAATCCCCTGTGCATCCTTTGTAAAGCCCAGAAAATGGGTAAACCCCCTTGTGCATCCCCTATAAATCCCGATAAACCCCTTTGCATCCATGAAAACCCCAGAAAAACGGGTAAATCCCCATGAGCATCCCTATAAATCCCTGCATCCCCACTGGGAGTGGTGACTCCCCCCGGTGCAGCTCCATCGATCCCAATGCACTGTAACCCACCCCTGCAGGGCGCCGCAGCGGCGGGGAGCTGAGCAGCACACAGGCAGCGCTGCTGCTGCAGGAGGAGACGCTGGCACGGGGCGAGCGGGAGCGCCGGGCGCTGCAGGACAAGGTGGCTGCGCTGCAGCAGAGCCTGCGCGCTGCCGAGGGCGAGCGCCGCGCCGTGCAGGTGAGCATCAGCGTGCGGGCTGCATCCTGCCCTGCATCCCCATCCCTGAGTGCTGCATCCCGCAGGAGAGGGTGAGCGCGGAGCGAGCCGGGGAGCTCAGGGATGCCAAGAGGAGGCTGGAGGTGGCCGAGAGCAGGAGCTCGCGCCTGGAGCTGCAGCAGAAGGTGCTGGAGGGGGAGCTGCAGCGCGCGCGCATGGCCCTGGGGGAGCGGCAGGCGGAGGTGCAGGCGATGCAGGAGCGTGCTGAGCTGCTGCAGAAACAGGTACCCAACAGGGACAGAGTAAAATAGAGCCACAGGGACCTCAGAGCTCCTCCAGCTCCAACCCCTGCCACGGGCAGGGACCCCTTCCACTGGAGCAGCTTGCTCCAAGCCCCTGTGTCCAACCTGGCCTTGAGCACTGCCAGGGATGGGGCAGCCACAGCTTCTCTGGGCACCCTGTGCCAGCGCCTCAGCACCCTCACAGGGAAGAGCTTCTGCCTAAGAGCTCAGCTCAGTCTCCCCTCGGGCAGGTTCAAGCCATTCCCCTTGGCCTGTCCCTACAGGCCCTTGTCCCAAGCCCCTCTCCAGCTTTCCTGCAGCCCCTTTAGGCACTGGAGCTGCTCTAAGGTCTCCCCTTCAGGAGCCTTCTCTTCTCCAGGCTGCCCCAGCCCAGCTCTCTCAGCCTGGCTCCAGAGCAGAGCTGCTCCAGCCCTCGCAGCATCTCCATGGCCTCCTCTGGCCTCGCTCCAGCAGCTCCAGGTCCCTCCTGTGCTGCTGCCCCAGAGCTGGATCAGGGCTGCAGGGGGGCTCTCCCCAGAGCACAGCAGAGGGGCAGGATCCCCTCCCTGAGCTGCTGCTCACGCTCTGGGGGTGCAGCCCAGCACACGGGGGGGTTCTGGGCTCAAGCGCTCACTGAAGCTGGGTCATGGGGAGCTTCTCATTGACCAACACCCCCGAGTCCTTCTCTTCAGGGCTGCTCCATCCCGTCTCTCCCAGGCTTTCGCTATGCTTGGCATTGCCCCTACCCATATGCAGCACCTTACACTCGGCTTCCTCATCAGCTCCTCTCAATCCCCATGGCACAGATGAACGTTATCTGCTGCATTCACTTCTCTTGCTGTTTTGGCTGTAGCTGGCAGACAGCGAGCAGCGCGCCGGCACCTTGCAGCAAGCGATGCAGCGCCTGAGCACGGCACTGACGGACACCGGCTCCAGGGATGCTGCGGCGGCGGCCGATGTGGTCCACGAGCAGCTGCTGCAGCTGCGGAGCGCGCTGGCTGCGGGCGAGCAGGACCGCCGGGCGCTGCAGGTGGGGTGGGGTGAGCACCCTTGGGTGCGGGTACCCGCGGGGTGCCTGTGCCGGGGGGGTCACTGCCGTGTCCCTGCGCTGCAGGAGGGGCTGGAGGTGGCGCGGCGGGCGCTGGCCGAGGCAAGGGAGGAGAAGGCGGCGCTGCGGGAGCAGCTGCAGGAGCTGCGGCAGGAGCGGGAGGTGCTGCAGCAGGGCAGGGATGAGCTGGAGGCGCAGGTCCGGCAGCAGCAGGAGGTGAGGGCCAGGGGGGGCTCCCCTCCATGCATGGTTCCCCACGTTCGCTGTACTTTGCCTCCATGCAGCTGCATCGCCTGCTCCATCCAGCCTGTTTTGACCCCATGCAGCATCCTTTGCATCACCACCCTATGGACCCCTCTAAAGCCCCAGCACCCTTTTCCCCTGTACACTCTTTAACCTCCCCATGCAGCACCCTATTGCCCCATACACACCCTACCACGCAGCACCTATACCCCTTTGCCCTCCCATACAGCACCTTTTGTCTCCCCTTGCATCAGCCTGCGCACTCCTCTAGAGCCCTAGAACCCTCTTGCCCCCATGCAGCAACCTTGAACCCCTCCAGGAAAGGAGGGAAGGGATGCTGCTCATCCCAGCACCCTATCACCCCCATGCAGCATCCTTTGTCCCCACCTTGCTCACCCTCTGGAGCGCTCCAGAGCCCAGCATCCCTTTCCCCATGCCCATGGCCACGCTGCCCGCCCGCAGGCACTGCTGCAGCAGCAGCAGGAGGAGCACGGGGGGCTGCAGGAGCAGCAGGGGGGGCTGCAGCAGCGGGTGAGCAGCCTGCAGCAGGCCCTGGCCCGCGCGCAGCGGGAGCGGCGGGAGGCCGAGCGCCTTGCCCTGCGCCTCGAGAAGGACAAGGGGGCCCTGAAGAAGACCCTGGACAAGGTGAGGGGCACCTCGGGGGCATCGCACCCATGGGGGTGCTGGGACACGCACCCGTGTGCCAGGGCTGGGTGAGGGGCAAAGGCAAACCCAAGCTCCAGCTTGTGATGCAGATATGCAATGCACTGTGTATGCATGTTGTGTGCTGCTCCACTAGGCACAGGGTCTGTATGCACTTACATATGTATTATATATATGAAATATGTGAAATATCTATCTTAATCTACCATATTTTATATATATAATCTGTGGTGTTTTATATTATATGTATTATGTCTATTCCATTCCATTCTATTCCATTCCATGCATTCTCATGTGTATATATACCATCTGCTACAATTTTATTATATACATTATCTGCTATATAATATATATGTGATCTATTTTTGTATTATTTATAATCTATATTCTATATGAGTTACTTGCTCTGTTTTATAGATATTATTTACTCTCTAGTATATATAATCTGCTCTATTTTATATTGTAATGATATATACATTATTATAGATCTATAATGCATTCATATATATGTGTATATATATGTATATATAGAGAATATATATAATGTATAATATATATATGCATATAAAATATATGTGTATATATATGTACATATACATGTAATATATATTAACATTAAATCTGCAATCTGCTGTATTTTATATAGAATCTATGTGGTTTATATCCCATATTATCTGCTATATATGTTACAAATAACCAAATATATTTTACATTATATATAAACTTTCAGGGGGGTTGGAACTAGATGATCTTAAGGTCCTTTCCAACCCTAACTACTCTATGATTCTGTGATTCTGTATGTATAATCTCCTATATATTAGTCAATCTGCTATATTTTATATTATATAAAATGTATATGGAATTGCTATATTTCATATGTACTATATACATTATTTCCTGTATTTTCCATGTCCCGCATCTCTCATTTACTCTATTCCAATGTCTTTTATCTCTCACTGTTCCATTCCCATGTCCCGATGCCTGTCTCACTGCTCCATTCCCATTTCCCAATGCCTGTCTCACTGCTCCATTCCCATGTCCCAATGCCTGTCTCACTGCTCCATTCCCATGTCCCGATGCCTGTCTCACTGCTCCATTCCCATGTCCCGATGCCTGTCTCACTGCTCCATTCCCATGTCCCGATGCCTGTCTCACTGCTCCATTCCCATGTCCTGTATCTCACTGCTCCATTCCCATGTCCCGATGCCTGTCTCACTGCTCCATTCCCATGTCCCGATGCCTGTCTCACTGCTCCATTCCCATGTCCCGATGCCTGTCTCACTGCTCCATTCCCATGTCCCGATGCCTGTCTCACTGCTCCATTCCCATGTCCCGATGCCTGTCTCACTGCTCCATTCCCATGTCCCGATGCCTGTCTCACTGCTCCATTCCCATGTCCCGATGCCTGTCTCACTGCTCCATTCCCATGTCCCGATGCCTGTCTCACTGCTCCATTCCCATGTCCCGATGCCTGTCTCACTGCTCCATTCCCATGTCCCGATGCCTGTCTCACTGCTCCATTCCCATGTCCCGATGCCTGTCTCACTGCTCCATTCCCATGTCCCGATTCACTGCTCCATTCCCATGTCCCGATGCCTGTCTCACTGCTCCATTCCCATGTCCTGATGCCTGTCTCACTGCTCCATTCCCATGTCCCGATGCCTGTCTCACTGCTCCATTCCCATGTCCCGATGCCTGTCTCACTGCTCCATTCCCATGTCCCGATGCCTGCCTCACTGCTCCATTCCCATGCATCCCTGCAGGTGGAGCGGGAGAAGCTGGATGCTCAGGAGGCCTCGCTGCGGCTCTCTGCAGAGCAGGGCCGGCTGCACCGTTCCCTGCGCACGGCACAGCAGGAGCTGGCGGAGGCGCAGCACCGTGTGCGCATGCTGCAGGTGGGTGCCATGCAACGGGTGCTGCCCACCCTTGGTGTGGAGCCCCCGGCCCCACCGGTGGCTTGCAGCAGGGTGGGGATGGGGACTCATCCATGCGTGAAGGGAGGTGCTGGTGCTTGCCCTGGGATGGGGCTGGTCTTGTTTTTGGGGTGCTTCACAGCCTGGGGCGATGGTGGTGCTTGCACTGGGGTGATGCTGGGCTCATCCCAGCTTGAACTGAGATGTTGGTGCCTGCCCTGGGATGATGCTGGGGCCCTTTATGGGCTTCCTCCAGCCTGGGGAGATACTGGTGCATGTACTAGGATGGGTCTGGGCTCATCTTTGGGGTGCTTCACAGCCTGGGGAGATGCTGATGCTTGCTCTGCAATGATGCTGGGCGCAACCCAGCATGAAGGAGATGCTGGTGCTTGCCCTGGAATGGTGCTGGGCTGATTTTTGGGGTGCTTCCCAGCCTGAGGAGATGCTGGTGCTTGCTCTGTGTTGATGCTGGGCTCATCCCAACATAAAGGGAGGTGCTGGTGCTTGCCCTGGGATGGGGCTGGCCTTGTTTTTGGGGTGCTTCACAGCCTGGGGAGATGCTGGTGCTTGCTCTGCAATGGTGTTGGGCTCATCCCAGCGTGAAGGGAGGTGCTGATGCTTGCCCTGGGATGGTGTTGGGGCCTTTATGGGCTTCTTCCAGCCTGGGAAGGTGCTGGTGCTTGTACTGGGAGGGTGCTGGGCTTATGCCATCATGAAGGAAGGTGCTGAGGCTTGCATTGGGATGGTGCTGGATTCTTTTGGGGGCTTATTCCAACTTGGGGAGAGGATGTTCTTGCCCCGGGATAGTGCTGGGCTCATCCCAGCGTGAAGGGATGTGTTGGTGCTTGTACTGGGATGGGGCTGGGCTCTTTCTGGAGTGCTTCCCAGGTTATGAAGATGCTGGTGCTTGCCTTGGAATGGTGCTGGGCTCTTTCAGGGACTTCTTCCACCCTGGGGAGATGGTGGTGCTTCTGTTGGGATGGGGCTGGGCTCTTTTAGGGGTGCTTCCCAGGGATGCTGGTACTTGCCCTAGGATGTGGCTGGGCTCTTTGGGCTCATTCCCTGTTGGAAAGATGCTGGTGCTTGCCCTGTGCTGGGGCTGGGGTGACGCCACCTCTCCCCATGCAGGCACTGGCACTGGAGCACCCATCCCCACCGAGTTCCAGGCCCTCTCCGGAGCTGGAGGCTCGGGAGCGCATCCACCACCACCGCATCCGTGGCCTGGAGGAGCAGGTGAGGGGGGGCACTCCGGGGGGCACAGCCTCATGTGCCCATCTCACCCCAACCCCACCTTCCAGATCGCGCTGCTGAAGGGGCAGGAGCTCCACCGGCACCCCACCAGCATCTGAGGAGCTTCCATGGGCCCATCCATGGGATGTGGCTCTGGGCAGCCTGCTCGACATGAAGATGCCCCTGCTCGTTGCAGGGCGGTTGGACTCGATGAGCTCTGAAGGTCTCCTCCAACCCAAACTGCTCTGTGATGCTCTGCCGCCTGCAGAGACCGGCCACAACTCATCACACGGGTGAGGGAGGAAGCACTCCCCATCCCCATGCTCAAGCCCTCATCTGTTTGTGTCTCATCATCCCCTTTTTCTGGCACTTTCCCAACAAGATGACACTTGTGTATTTTTGATACAAATTGGGTGGGTTTTCCCATTTTTTATGGCTATTTTTAACAAAAGGTTTGGAATTACTCCTGGTTTTTAGCCCTGTCCCTTCACCAGCCAAGCTACTTGATTGTTTCACAATTCCCAGCACTCACTGGATCCTAATTTTCCCCTTTTTCTAACAAAAAAAAACTCCTCTAGGTCGGTGCTTTTGATCTGATTTTTAGGAAATAGAGGGATTTTTATACCACTATTTTTGGAGTTTGAGGTTTTTACTGGTGCTACCGGATGGCCTGAGGTCAGGTCCCAAAACCTCCCTGCCCTGATCCTGGTCAGTCCCTATTCAATGTGGATAACCCCAAACTGGAACCCCAAGAGGGTTTTTGGGGGGGAGACAACGGTGTTTTGGGGATGCCCAAAGGGATGTCCATCAGGAGAGTGGGATTAATTCAGGACCTTAATAATAAGCGATAATAAATAATAAGATGCATAAATAAATAATAATAATTAGTATTTTGCTATTATTATTATCATGAGCACCCCCACATTAGAAGGGAGCTGCAGAGAAGCACTGGAGCCATTAAGCAGCATCCTTTGGGGCGCTGCTGCCCTCCCTTTCCTTGTTTTAAGCCTCTGGGGAAGACTGAGCCCCAAAGAAGGATGAATCCCTTGTGCCTTTGAGGCCATGAGCTGTGCAGGGATGGGGATGGGGATAGGGATGGGGATGGGGATGGGGATGGGGATAGGAATGGGATGGGATGGGGGAGAATGTCAGAGAAAACTCAATGCAGACCCTCCCAGACTACTTTCTATAGGAGAATTGGAATATAGACCAACTGCACCCTACATAAGAGAGAGGCACACTATAGGGCTCTATATGATATGAGACCTGCAGCCTGTGTAAGATCTGCACTCTATATAAGAGCTATGTGCTATAAGAGCACACTATGGGAGATCTGACCATGCAGAGCTGCTCAATAGAGGGGTATGGACAGTATAGGGTGCACATTATATATGAGAACCACACAGTGAGAGAGCTATACAAGAGCTGTATGGACCCAATGCATGGTAAGGAAGAGCACTGCGTGCTATAGAACTGTATCCTATATGTGCTGTGTGAGAGCTGTATGCTCTGTACATGAGCTATGCACTGTATGAGAGCTGCACACTATATAGGAGATCTGCACACCATATAGGAGAGCTGTACAGTATAGACAAGAGCTGCACACTATGCATGAGCTGCACGCTGTGTAATAGAGCTACACACTGTGTAAGAGCATATATAAGACACTATATCAGCTACACACTAGATCTGAGAGCTATGAACTGTATAGGAGCTGCACACCACATGTATGAGCTGCAGGCTATATGAGCAAGCTATGCATTGTACAAGAGAGCTGTACACTACATCTGAGAGATACCTACTATATAAGAAAGCTCACCCTATAGATGAGCTGCACACTGTATAAGACAGCAGCATGCAATGCGAGACCTATGCACTGTAGAAATGAGCTGCATGCTATGAGAGCTGCAAGCTATGTTAGAGGGCTACATGCTATTATAGGAGCTGCATGGTATATAAGAGAGCTGCACACTATATATAAAGAGCTGTATGCTATATATGAACTGCACACTATATATGAAGAGCTGCATGGTATATATGAGAGCTGCATGCTAAATAAGACCTACACACTATATATGAAGAGCTGCATGCTATATAAGACCTACACACTATATGTGAGAGCTGCATGCTATATATGAGAGCTGTGTGCTATATAAGACCTACACACTATATATGAAGAGCTGAATGCTATATATGAGAGCTGTGTGCTATATAAGACCTACACACTATATATGAAGAGCTGAATGCTATATAAGATCTAAACACTATATATGAAGGGCTGCATGCTATATATGAGAGCTGTGTGCTATATAAGACCTACACACTATATATGAAGAGCTGAATGCTATATAAGATCTAAACACTATATATGAAGGGCTGCATGCTATATATGAGAGCTGCATGCTATATAAGACCTACACACTATATATGAAGAGCTGCATGCTATATATGAGAGCTGTGTGCTATATGAGACCTACACACTATATATGAAGAGCTGAATGCTGTATATGAGAGCTGTGTGCTATATAAGACCTACACACTATATATGAAGAGCTGCATGCTGTATATGAGAGCTGCATGCTATATATGAACTGCACACTATATGTGAGAGCTGCATGCTATATATGAGAGCTGTGTGCTATATAAGACCTACACACTATATATGAAGAGCTGCATGCTATATATGAGAGCTGTGTGCTATATAAGACCTACACACTATATATGAAGAGCTGCATGCTATATATGAGAGCTGTGTGCTATATAAGACCTACACACTATATATGAAGAACTGAATGCTATATATGAACTATGCACTATATATGAAGAGCTGCCCACACTAGTTCCTGTAAGTGACCTGAACCCCAACCTGCACCCTCCATCTATAGGGGAACCCAAACCCTAGACACCCAAACAGAGACCCCACCACCACCTGGTCCAGGGGGAACTGGTGGCACCCCAAAATCAACCCCAAACCCCCTATTTGATCTAAGAGACTCAGAAACGTGCCCCAAACACACCTATACCAAACCAAGCCCCCTCCAAATGGTGCTATTTCCCCACCAAACACCCCCAAATCACTCATTTCAGATGCTCCAAAACACCCTAAAGCACCCCAGACTCATGCCCCCCAGCCCTACCTCCTGTGCACAGGGCTGGGATTGCTCAAAACATCAGAAATGCCCCAAAAATTGGACCATCCCCCCGAAAATACAGGAATTCCCTTTCCCAACCCCGAAATCCTGCCAAAAATTCAGAAATGCCCCTAAAATAGCAGAAATCCTCTGAAAATCAGGGCACTTTCCCCTAATATTGGAGCCATCACCCCCCCCAAAAAGGGACACCCCCCCAAATAAATTGAAAATCCGCCAAAAAATCAGAAATCCTCCCAAAACATCAGAAATACCCTGCAAAAATCATAAATTCACCCCAGAATCAGAGCCTTCTATCCCAGTATTGGACCCCCTCCAAGTAAATCAGAAATCCCCCATAAAATCAGAAATCCAACCAGAAATGGGTCCCTCAAATCAGAAATCCCCCCCCCCAAAAAAAATCAGGAATTCCCCCAAAATAATCAGAAATCCCCCCAAAATCAGAGCCTTTCCCCCCAACATTGAACCCTCCCCATCAAATTGGACCCCCCCCAATAATCAGCCCCTCCTTCAAATAAATCAGATCCCCCCACTCCAAAATATGAGGTTCCCCCCCCAATAAGGAGTCTGGAGCCAAGTGACCCTTCCACTTTATCTCTTGGATACTCTACATAGAAAACGGGGTGACGGGGGCTGCCGCCGCCCACCCTTTTACAATATAATAAAGAAAGTCATAAAAATAATACCCCCCCTTTATTTTTCCTTATTATGTGCACAAAAATGGACCTTTTCTTATGTTCTTTCATGCACCGTTTCGTTAGCACCATGTGAGGAGGCTGCGGAGCGGGATGGGGGGAACCAGGATCCAGGGATGGGGAAGGGGGTTTCAGGGGGGTCCCAGTGATGGGGGGGGCCCCCGGAGCTCAGCACCCACCGCAGCTGCGGGCGCAGGAGGCGACGACGGTTTGGCAGAGCCCACTGGTGGCCATCACCCCACACTTGGAGAACTTGTCCCGGCACAGGTCGGCTGCGGGAGAGTGGGAATCAGCCGGGAATGGTGGGAATAACAGCGCGCATCCCATTGGGATGTCACGGTGCAAAAAGGGGGGGGGTCATCCCCTTCAATGATGCAGCCCATGGGGTGTGATTTGGTGGTTGTTGGGGTTGTCCAGCCCGCATCACCATGGGGAAAAAGGGGGATTGGGATGGGGATGAGCCCATCCTTACCTCGCAGCAGTTCTTCATGGGCACACACGGTGCGGACGCAGATCTCCTTGTTGATCACGTAAACCCGACGGAGGCTGGATGAAGGGGTTATGGGGTTGGTGTAAATGAACGGGGGGGGTCCCCAAAATAGAGGGATTGGGGGGTTAGGGAAGCTCACCTGTAGAAGCAGATCTCATTCAGGCACTGCTTGCAGGGCTTGTGCACGGAGTAGAGCCTGGTGCAAGGGTATTGCTCCTCCCGGCAGTCTGCAAGGAGAAAAGGGAAAACCCATAGGGATGAGGCCTGACACCCTGGGGATGGGCTCAGCATCCACTCAACTCTAACCCAATGTTCTCCCAGTCCTCATCTTCAACATGAGGTGTGAGCGCGGAAGCGCATCCTTACCCCAGATGGGATAAAAGGGAGGATGAACCCCCCCCAAATGGGGACCAGGGAGGGGGGGACAAGGACTCACCAAGGGGTCCTGGCTCTGTGGGCTCAGTCTCTGGGACAGCACCTGTGGGGAGATGGAATGAGGGGGGGAAGACATTTAGGGATGGAGCAGAGCATCTTTGCCTGGGTTTTGGGGCTGGAGCATCCTTATGGTGGTACCCACCTGGGGTTGGAGCCGGCACGACTTCCTGCTGGGATTGCTGCTGGGACTGGTACCGAAACTGCTCCTCAGGGGCACGGGGGGTGACATCTGCAGGGAGAGGGACAGTGCGGGCACCCCCCAAAATCCCGCTCCCCCCCATCCGACATCCCGCAGGGAAAGCACTTACCATGATAGTCGTAGTAATCCTGGATTTCTGGGGAATAAAACGGAAAAAACAGGGGCTGAGGGTGGGATTGAGGGACAAAGGAGCCCCCATCGGGGCTGGTTTAGCCATGAGCCCCTCCTATATCTGCAACCGGTCTGAGTGATGGGAGAGCACCCCCCGAGGCACCCCAGGAATGGGGCGACATCCCACGGGGGGGGGTGGTGGTGGTGTTAAGCTTAATAAAGGCTTAATAAACAGTTGGTAGATGGGGACAGGAGAAGGAGAGAGGTGGGAATGTGTTAGAAGGAGGCTGGAAGTATAAGGAGGAAAGGGATGGAGCAAAGAGCATTGAAGAGGCATTGGGTTGGTGGTGGTAGCCAGAAGAAGCAAAGAGAGGGAGGAAAAGGAGCAGGAGGGAGGTGGGTGAAGCTCTAACCTGATTGCTGG